TCTCTATTATTTGATACAGGTAAATTTTACTAATTTAATCCTTAATTACTTTTTAATGATATGTGCACGTGTAAGTCTTATGAGAGACATGCATGTTAAATTGAATGTAAACATTACTAAATTAATGGATATTTTCATTTATAGTTTTTATAATTAACATTTATCAAGGTAGTATTCCAGTCTCGCCTATTCATATCCATTTAGCGTTGCATAAGCTATATTTTATTAATTGTATAACTATTTGGAGGCTATACTGAAAAATAAACAATAGTTTAATCGCATCCTTTTCATACGACTACATATTTTCCAATGATTATATAAACTGCTATTAAAAGTGATTTAAAAAAGTATTTTGAAAACAGGCGACTAAATGCTCATCGGATATGTACTTTGGTTGCTGTGAATAAACAGTTTACTGAATACTATCCAACAATTTATTGCTTATAATTGTGTAATCACGTGAAATTTCACATTACAAGTGTATACGATATGCTTATTCTGTACCCAACGAATTGATAATAAAAATGTACTAATAATACACACCATCCAGTGTGTGTTTAATATTAATATACTAGTATTTATTGTATGAAATGATTTAATTTCGAGTGAAACTGCGAAAATAATAACAAAACAAAATACTATATGTCGGGTGTAGTTAAAAACTTTTTTATCAAATCGCCCAGCGCTCGGAGCACTGGTAATACAAGTTTTTAGTAAATTAATCTCAAGGATATTCACTGAAATATACTTGTATACTTTATATTCTGTGTGTTCAAGTATAGACATTTTCTAAAGTGATAAACTTTTCATTTTATGTGTTCATAGGATTGTGTGTATCCAGTGGTGATTATCTGATGTCTAGCCATCAATTTGCTAATAATAATAATTAGCATGTTTAGTTCACATAAAACACATACTGATTTTATGTGATAATGAGTACACATTAATTGGCTTATATTGTTCAATAATAATTATTCAATAATCACTGTCACATAATGCCGTCAAAAAAGTTTACAAAAATCTGTTCAATTTGTGGCGAAAAGGCTATCGGTATGAATGACTTTGATTATCATTAGCGCAATGAAATACAATTTTCACTAGTATTTCATCATTTGTTTCCGTATTAATTGTCGCTATATTTCAGTACATTTAGAATTTCACGGAATTCACACATTTTTCTAACATTATTTCATTAATTCATTAAAAGGTTACAACTTTTGTGCCATTTCTTGCGAGTCTTGTAAAGCATTTTTCCGGAGAAATGCCACCAAATTGGATGTAATATACTTATAGTGGCTATCAGTGAATTGTGTGCTTGCTTACTTAACATATTTGTCATTTTCCACTAATTATCCAGGAGTATAAGTGTCCGTTTGATGACAAATGTAAGGTGAATGTCGTGACCAGAAAATTCTGCCGCAAATGTCGACTCCGGAAGTGTTATGCCGTCGGAATGAAACAAGTATTCAATCCAT